AAAAAAATAATTTAAAAAATTTAATTAAATGTTTATTTATTTAAGGAGAATATTTCGTAGAGTCTTCCTTAAAAAACATAAAAATCCAAGGGAACGTATAATACGGACCTTCAAAAAACCACAAAATGATAAAATTGTTCCAAGTGTCGCAACATGCAATGATTTTAGTAACAAATTATAATTATTATAATAATAATAATAAGGCATTCAATAATAATGATTGCATTGATACAAATAAATTCACTCTACCATTTGTGATGTCACCCTCAAACAGAGCAAGTTCAGGGTAAACTCGTAGAGATTGGCGTAATAGATTTAAACCAATTGACGAACTTATTCAAGAAATCCGACTGGAATTTCCATATCCTTCTCATAATTTAAATTGGATTCCATACGATGAATTCATGGGTTCCAGATTAATCACTCAAGGTGGATTTTCTTCGATCTTTGAAGCCATGTGGAATAAATCAGGTCAAACCATAGCGTTAAAGTGTTTGAATGATTTATAAGATCTTAGTAGTGATTATCTAAATAAAGTAATTATTCGAAATTAAATCTTATTCAATTCATTATTTCAGGTATCTAATAAATATTCCTTTTTTTAAAAAAAAAAAAAAAAAATAAAATAATAAAGGTAAAGACCCATTGGGGTTTATTCTCGCAACTACAATTTTTACGTTGTTTCGGTATAACGCAATATCCAATTACTGGGGAATTCATGATAATGTTACAATATGCAACATTTGGAGATTTGAGATTACATAATCGTGTATCAAGTTGGAAAGATAAGATTTGAATTCTCAAGCAAATCACTCGTGGACTTGCCAAGATGCATAAGAGAGATTTGATTCATGGAAATTTACATAGCGGAAATATAATGAATATATTGATAAGTCACATTTTGTCATTGGAGATGTTGGACTTTGTGGACCAGCTAATCGTAGCATACGCAAGAAAGCAGTTTATGGAGTTCTTCCTTATGTTGCATCGGAACTTTTTAGAGGGATAGGATATTCAAAGAAGGTTGACATCTACAGTTTTAGTATTATCATATGGGAAATTTGTTCAGAAATGAGACCATATGCTGGTACAGCTCATGATATGAATATGGCAAAAGATATATGTAAAGGGAAAAGGCCACCTGTTCCACCAGGAACACCTTCCTTTTATTCTGAACTTATGAAAATTTGTGGAATCATAATCCAAATGAACGACCTGATGCATCTGATGTATTAAAAACTGTTTATCACTGGTTGGTAAATGATTCACTGGATGAATTTTTACGTAAAGGTAGATCAACGATCTCATTTAATAATGTGTCAAATGATCGAACACACCCGGATGCAATTTATCATAGTAGATTATTGGATTTCTCCAAATTCAGAGAACGTAGACGTCAAATTCTCGCAAAATCACGTGCAGAATTGAGAGGTTCTTCAGTTGAAGAAAATAAGTATAATAGTAATAGGAATAGTATTAATAG